CGGCGGCAGGCCTTCACGGCACAGCAAAAGCTTAAGATCATCGCCGTCGCCGAAGAATTTGTAAATCGCGAAGCGGGAAGACGGCACGATGTGGACGAGTCCTGCGTGCGACTGTGGAGAAAGAAGAATGAGAGCCTACAAGCCGCGCACCGTGATCATAGGTCATTTCGTGGTCCCAAGACCGGTGCCTACCCTGAGCTGGAGGCGGAGCTAGTAAAGTTCATCGAAGATGTGAGAAGCAGGGGTCACGCCGTGTAGACCGAGGTGGCCCAAGTGGAAGAGCGGCGACTTTCGAGGGAGCTAGGCCTACCTCACGAGTTCCGTGCGAGCCGCGGATGGCTGCACCGCTTTATGAAGCGGCAAGGGCTCTCAATCAGACGGTGGACTACAATATGTCAACGCTTGCGGGCTTCTTATGAGGAGAAGCTGCTCAAGCACCAGGGATATGTAATTGGCTTGCGAAAGCAGCACAATTACATTTTCTTGCAAATTGGCAATGCTGATGAAACTCCTGTTTATTTTGAAATGCCATTGGACACAACGATTGAGAAGACGAGCAGCAGTTCGGTGAGCGTGCTGACCGACGGGAACACGAAACTGCGCATCACAGGCTTGCTTTGTGCCCTCACCGACGGCACGCAACTGTGACCGTACATCATCTTGAAAAGGAAAACTCTACCAAAGGTTCATTTGCCTGCCGGTATGGTGGTGCGCGCACACGAGAACGCGTGGATGAACAGTGACTTGTTCGTAGACTGGATCAAGACGGTATGGGAGAAGAGGCCCGGTGCGATGCTCGCAAAGAGGTCCATGCTGGTTCTTGACTCTTGCCGCGGCCACACAACTGAGGAAGTGAAGGACCACCTTTCACGCAATGGCACCGACTTAGTTATTATACCCGGTGGAATGACGTCAATGTTGCAGCCTCTAATTGTGTCGCTTAACAAGCCCTTCAAAGCGCATGACAAGCGCTATTACGCCAAGTGGATGGCCGAAGGCTGCTACAACTTGACGCCGACAGGACGAGTCCGAAGGCCTGATATTGCCCTATTCTGCAAGTGGATTGTCGAGGCATGGAAGGCCATTCCAGGTGAGATGGTGCGAAAAAGTTTCAAAAAATGCTGCATCACAAACAACATGGATGGAACCGAAGATGACCTTGTGCATAATAGTGAGGACTGCGGCTCAAGTGATAGCTCTAGCGAGAGCAGCGACAGTGAGTGAATTGTGACTGGCCTTGCCGACAGCGTATTCTGCTTGCTAAATAAAGCTTTTTCTGTCTACATATGTGCTATGTAGCTTGAGCAGTAGCTTTTGTACAGCCTTTCCTGTATATCAAATGTGCGGGCAATACGCGTGGATTTTTGTTTCTTTCTCGGTGAGCTGAAAGTGGGGGTGCGGATTATATGCAGCGGCGGGTTATACGCTAAAAAATACGGTACTTGTCGGCGGCAGCGCAGGGAGTGCAGTTTCGTGCGCGGAGTCAGCCAGGAGTGAACCTTGGAGCCGCGTTACGTAGTGCCGCGCGGTGCTTCGTAAGCACTGTCGACTTTTTGTTTTTTACGGTTCAAGTTATTGGCGAGCTACGCAAAACCACAAATAATTATGCTTGGACGAATATTTTTTGGAAGCCGACGTACAGCGAGAGAGACTGTTCTTGGATGTCCCACACTCCATTTCGATGCTCCTACATGAAATGCTCTTCAGAGCTAACGAACACAGTAAAAAAAAAAAAAAGAAAATATCAGGAACTGTAAATTATGCTGTGACCAAAGAAAAGTTGGACAGAAAGCAAGTGTTCTCTGTGAAACATGCGTAGCAAACCTGTGTTTTACTGCATCGCGAAACTGCTTCGCACGGTGGCATGAAAGACACTATGTGCAATGTTCTTTTATGTACACCAAAACTTTTGTATTTAGAGCGCTTATACTTACAGCATAGTTGTGTGTGCTCCTTGCGTTTAAAATGTATATTTCCGTTTCTTTTTATGCTCAGCCTGTTCAGAGCAGTGTTGATGGTTCTATGAAATTTCTTTGTTCATGTTTACAATGTTTTTCGTTTGATAATCTTTTTTATACTATTGTTAAATAAATTCGTGGTTTCAAACTGACCGTGTTTAAAAGATAACTCCGAGCTGTACAGTTTGACAGCATAAACATTAACATCAGTAACTTTGGGTGCCATAAAAAATAACGTCTTCTGGACTACCAAAGAATGGCCAAATTTATTGCGGTCATGAAAGTGTTTATGTATCTGTTCATTTTATTTTGGTATGATAGTCAGTGCCGTTAACGATTTAAATAGCATTATATCAAGCCATTAGTATATCACGAAATAACAATGCAATGAAAGCTAAACATAGTTTTCAACCATGCTAAACAGTTGCGAGCAGTGCGAGCAAGGACGTCAATAAAAATGTGAAAGTCGTGCCTTGTATGGCAAAGTGCCATATGTTGAATGCAGGAGAAACCTCTTAACTGATAGCGCCACGCAAGCACAGTGACACAAAAAGCGCATGGTGTCCAAAATGGTGCTCGCACTGCGTCATGGAGGGCGCTGCGTAAAAATACGTCGTACACTCGCCATCTTGGACCTATGCAAAGCACAACCTGTTTCTTGAAAAAAAAAAAAAAAAAAAATCACAGCAACAAAAGCGGTTATCTTATCAAGAGCCCCGATGTCGGGGATCGACTGTGGGTAGTCCAGAGGGCCCACGATCCGGCAGGTAGGCTTGGCCGGACTGTTCCGACGTGGAAGTGGCCCGCTGCGCCTTGAGTCCTGCGCCTCAGGACTTTAAATAAAGTTTCGCATCCATCCATTAATATCCATATCCATAGTGTCAATGATAATGAGTTGGGCACCACGTCCGTCAGTTCGACCGCGCTTCAGTCTGTCTGTTCGTTCTTGCTTCTGTCTGTCCATGCATCCATCAGTTCGTCCGTCTGTACGTCCATCTGTTTGCCTGTGTGTCTGTCCATGCGTCCATTCCTGCATTCGTTTATGCGTCTATCTGTCCATGCGTCTGTCTGTCTGCGCATAGTCAAACAGACAAGTATGACAACGAACAGACGCGGCCAGAAGATGATTCACGGTTTGACGAAAACCCTTTGAAGCTTTGCCCCACTCGTCACCATTCATTCCATGGATATGCTGTGAGGTGGATACTACATATATGGATACATAGAGGTGACGACCGACCCACGCCTCACAGAGCTTTGCCCCTAAAAAGCGCGACGCATATGCACTAAGGGGGCCTTTGCTGGACCTCTCATATGCCATGTAAAGGCGCGTCTGCTCGCCTACTTTTCTTAGTGTTGTAATTATGTAAATAAATCATTTGTTTTGTCATCAAGCTCACATCAACTGGTGGCAGCGGTGGAATATAAAGAATCGCAGGGTATGATGAGTAGTCTTGTAATTATGTAAATAAATCATTTGTTTTGTCATCAAGCTCACATCAACTGGTGGCAGCGGTGGAATATAAAGAATCGCAGCGTATGATGAGTGGGTGGAAGCGTCCGTCTATGCGACCTTTTGTGCATCCGTAATCTGAAGCGTCATCATCCTAATTTTCATAGCTAGTGCCCTGCGCCTCTCGCGTAGCTCATGCCTCGCTAGAGCTGGGCGACAAAAAAGAAAGGGTTCGCGCGCCTGGCGTGTCGGACGCTGGTACTGCCACCGCTCGGCTTCAGCCTAGGAATAAAGTGGCGAGATTAGCACGGCCTCGTCGACCGCCTTCGACATTGTCTTACGCCGTCTCGCTACACATATATATTCCAGTTTTTCCAGTAATTTTTAACTGGCCTTTAGTGAGCTATGGCACACTCTTTTGTGACACTATGGGCCTAGCATGCTTCGAGCTAGCCTGAATATCGCATTTGTTTGTGTATAACTCGTCCCAGCATATAACTGCCCCCCCCCCCCTCCCCCCGCCCAAACAAACCTTGAGAGAAATAAAACATAACCATGTATTGACGCAAAGCCGGTAAAGGCATGCTGTGAAGCCAACTTGTGCACCAAAATTTGCATATAACCCATGACCCGAGTTTAGTTTTGAATTTTCTGTTTGTGTTATATGCAAGAAAACACGTTCACTTGGTGAGTGGCAAGCAAGTACATTTGAGTTAGTAACATTGTCCTGCGAAAGGTAATGTATGCATTTGCCAGGATCAAAGGACAAGTCATAATCATTAAACCTTTCCAAATTTTGTAATCTACATATAAAATTTTGCCGCAATAAAATTTCAGGACAACAAACTTTTTCACATGTCTTGTTTATTCCCTTGTAGTGAGATTTAACTGTAGACAAATCGTGCACACGAATGTAAACAAGGGATGAAATGTGTTGGGTCCTGCAATAACTTGTAGCCTTTTCCCATTCTTAGGATGCTTTCATGCGTGACACCAATGTACTGTGATGCAAGTGAGATGAGTTCGGCACTTGACAGATCAAGACCAGCCTGCTCTGTACCCCTCCACAACCAGCATACAATTAATTATGCGTGTGGTTTGACCCCTTTGGCTCTTCTGTAAGCAAGCAGCCAACTTTATTTGGGACTGTTAGCTACATAAAAACGTGAATGTTCGGCTAGAAGCAACAAAGACAGCAGATACATCACTTCCAGGCATGTACAAGCAAACAGTTTCAATTAACCGAATTCGTGATGTGAAGCAGTTTGAATTAGGCAGCTTTAAAATACATCATAAACATACCAGGCCATTCAAGAATTTATGATTTGTTTGAATTGACTGTAACTTACAATCATCCCATCTACAGCAGTCTAGCCTTTTTTATACAGTGTACGTTTGTGTAACAGTCTATTACAGGCATTCTTAAACTGGTCTGTTTGGGAAGACTGTGTCAGTGGCTACATTATTAGTTTATCGATTTTATGAAGCCTGGAGTATGTGGCAGCCTCGCTTGACCCTTCAAAGCCACATATTTGGCGGGGTTCCACTGTATGGCCTTTTGAAGGGAGCCATGGTTGGACTTGGCCTACCGTAGAGGCAGATGTCCTTGGTCTGGCCAAGACGCCACTCTGCCACGGCATCCAGCATGGCATTGAAATGGAACTCAACACGGCGGTCGCACTCTGTTGGCACCATGCGTCCCGCCGTTGTGTACAGGTCACAGTGGTCACGAATAAGCCGCATGCCATGGCCAGACTGCAGGCATAGTGTTGTCAGGGGGCTGGAAAGGATAAACACAGCCGCGAGTTTAGCTGTTTAACGTTGGTTGGAAAGAACTCAACTCTTTCCCTAGCAGAGAACAACTGGGCTCGTGTGCACTCAACTACAAGTTTTGCAGAGCAGCAATTAAGCTGCCCTGACCCATTCTGCAACGTTTTTATTTTTGCATTGACAAACGTTTACATGAAAAATTTAAAAGCCTGCTTAAAGCATACATTTCCGTAGATAAACAACTTCATTCTGAGAAACCAAACTAAAGATGGCATCCTCCAGTGCCTTTTTGTGCAAGCACGTACTGGCAACATCTGTTCTTGGGAGGTGAGAGAAAAAAATTGTAAGACTGAGAGAGTAAAGAATAATTTCTGTTCGTTTCTGAGTGCAACCACGAAGGCACAGAGCAGTACATTTTCTCAGAACCACCATACCCGGACGACGACAGCACCTTGTCGAATGGACGGTGTACGGCAACATAAGCAAACTAAACAGCACAGAAATGGGTCCAAAGTTTTATGGGTTTTATTTCACGGCCTTGCTTGTCCCATTGCTTCAATTTTTAAATTCGTAGGAGACCTTTTCCACAGCAAGGACTACAGAGACACTCCCTGTGGGGCAGTGCAGAGAAACCAATCCTTTTCATACCTCGGCGATAAGAATCTTGTGGCGTAACCATAAATATTTCTGACGCTAGAAACTTTTAAAAAATAATACGGGGCAAAAGAAAGCTGGCGTACGCCCACAATAATTGCTTCTCCGAGTCGCAGCTGCAATTATTGCCAGTAAAAGTTTCTACTTGCCGACGATTATTCGTACTCGTATACATATGGTGAGTGTGCCCATGTCGAATTAAAAAATCAGGTGTGGTGACTTATGACAGCTAATACAGTCGATCCCAGATATTTCAAACTCGAACGGGGTTGCAAAATAGTTTGACATATTTAAGGCTTCCTACAGGTTTCAGAGGGGAAAATTGAAGTATATTCAAGGAATTTCATGGCCCTAAAGGAAGATTTTCATGGCCCTAAAGAGGATTTGGAGCCGCACGCTTGCCGACATGCAGCTGACATCGCTCTTGTTTGTGCAGATTTTTGCTGCCCTTTGGTCAATGATCCTGAATAATGCTGTAGGCGAAGAGACGCCGTTTCTGCGCATGCCTGAGTCGTCGCCCACATCGGCATTCGCGTGGGCCACATCAGCATGCGGTGGTGCATTTACACTGCCGGTGATCGCACACGGCGGATTTTCCGAGGATGGCGACGATGACAGCGACGCGCGACCGACCAACTACGAGCGGAATGAACCACGTGACAAAGGGCAAGGCTACATAAGCGAGCAGCACTACGCATTCATGGGATTTGGAGCCGGCACGCTTGCCGACATGCAGCTTACATCGCTCTTGTTTGTGAAGGTTAGTCTCTACTATTCCATTCACAGTCAAACAAACATTATTGTATTGCCGGCTCCTCCCATGATGGCGTTTGCTGCTCCCGTGAATAATAAACATGCCCAGGCGAAGGTGTCCAAAAGGCGCTTTCGCCTGCTTTCTAATAGAGTGCTGTATTTGCTCTTGCTGTTGCTCCTTGCTGGAGAGGTGGAACTAAACCCCGGTCCTGATAGTATTGTCCAGGTAAACTTGTCAAGTCATGATGATGCTGCTCAAATAGATTGCCTGAGAAGTCTGCAAAATGGTCAGGTGGCGATAATGAATAAGTTAGACGCAATTGAAACTGCATTCGCAAAGCACAAAACCATGATAACAGAAATAAGTAAAAACCTGGCTATCACGCAGGAGCATGTAGAGGACGTCAGTGAATTGGTATCGAGGCAGGCAGATATATCAAGGGGCTTCTGAAACAAGTTAATGAGTTACAGGGGAAGTCGGTCGAAATAGAGGACAGAAGCCGGAGACAAAATTCAGTCTTCTATAGGGTGGACGACACTCACCGGTTTGAAAATTCGGACCAGTCAGAAAAATTAATCCAGTGGGTTTGTGAAGATAACTTAGGAATACAGTTGAAGTCGGTTCAAAGAGCGTACCGGATTGGACGTTTCACTGGAAAGGCTAAGCAACCAATTATTGTAAATTTCTCCTGTTACAAAAAAAAAACAAGACTTTCTACTAAATGCTAAAAGATTTAAGGGGGGACGCGGCCTTTGAAAACCGAAAAATCGCGAAAAAGTCGATTTTTGGCAAACCACATATTCGGGCAGTATGTGTCATAAACTACCTTTTCTGTAAATATCAACGTCTAATTTGTCGCAAAACCATTTGAAATAAAGTTTAGAACATGCCGCGGCGGCCCTCGAGCGGCGCGCGAGCGCTCAAAATACCCCAACTTGGCGTGATCGCAGTTTCTCGACCGCTCGACGGAGCGCCGCCATTTTGGTGTTGTTTTGTTTGTGAATTCTTGCTCTTTCTTTCCCCGCCACCTGCGTCGCCGGCGGCAGCGCAAGAGAGGAGCAAGCCGCTCATGATTGGAGGGCTCGCGAGAGATTTCAAGTTTCCCGCGGCTGAGGCGCGCAGCTGGGATTGGGCGAAGCGCGCACTCCCCAAGGATGCGGGGAAGCCCGCGACTGCCATTGGCTGCTGCGCGCGATGACGCAGCGCTCTTGCGCATAATGCGGCCGATGCGGCCGCTCGTCTGCTGCTCCTCCGTCTGGCGTCTTTGTGTTCCGCTCGCTTCCGTGTATCGTTGCAGCCGTTCGCATACTCTCCACGTTTCAACTGTCTTCGAAACGATTTTCAACCGTCTATACGAGACCGTTGTTGTGTTCGCTCACGATGCGCCCAACGAAAAAGAAGACGCTACAATCGTTCGGTGCAAGGAAGCGAGCTATGAAGCTTGTCCGCGCGGCGAGGCTCTCCGCTCACACGTGCGCCGACGGTACCTGTGGGGCAGCTTCTGCTTCATCTACGCAAGAGAGTGGTCGCATCGACGCGCCTAGCAACGGGACTCCTGCTCCGCCGGTGCAAGAATTTGTCGTTACAAGTGTGCCTGATGTCTCGTGCTCATCGACAGTGGCTTCCGCATCTTCTCTTTCATCGGCCTCGAGTGCGATCGCGTCGTCAACTGTGCATTTGCGAACAAGTTTCCTGACGTGCGAGGAGAAAGAGGCGGCGGATCAACAACGCGCTGCTGTGCAAAGAGAACTTGGCGCTATGCCAGCGACGGAGCGGAAATTTCAGGCAATGGAGCGCGATCATGAAGCTGCCACCGCTACAAGTGAAGGCGAAAAATTTTTCCTTGTGCAAATGGATGCCCTAGACGACCTGCTATCTCGGACCCCGTGCCACCGGTGCACCGCGATTGGGATGAAGGTACGAGGAGGCACCCAACTTGGACTTGCTGCAAAGCTTGAGCTAGTATGCTTGCATTGTGGAGTAGTTTCAACCTCATGGAGTTCATCTCGTCAGGATGACACAAAGGCCTTTGATGTGAATGTAAGAGCCATTATGGCAACAAAACAAATAGGCAAGGGACAAACAGCTCTCAACGACTTTTGGGCAGCGATGAACGTGTCCCATCGTGGCCTCCATCACAAGACCTTTCAGAAGCACCTGAAGAAATTCAGGGAACCGCAGACACAATGCATAGAAAATTTCTATGCAGAATCTGCTTCTGCTGTAAAAGCCACTTACAAAGAAATGGATCAATATTTCACCAGGGATATAACAGTTTGTTATGATGGAACATGGCACAAGCGTGGGCACACATCCCATATTGGAGTCGGGGCAATTATCGAATACCATACGGGCCTTATCTTGGACGCTGTTGTTCTGTCTAATCAGTGCCTTGGTTGCCAAGTAGGGCCAAAGCCTGGAGACGCAGACTATGCATGCTGGCTGGAGAATCATGTGTGCCAGAAAAACACTGACTCTAAATCAGGGAGAATGGAGGTTGAGGCAGCTATCATCCTCTTTTCACGCTCACTGTCGAAGCACAACCTCCGTTACACAACGCTCGTGTCTGATGGAGATAGTGCCACCTTCTCTGCCCTTGTACAAGAAAATGTTTATGGACTGGTCCCCATTTCAAAAGAGGAATGCCTGAACCACGTTCAGAAGAGGATGGGGACTGCACTTCGCAACCTTGTGCAGAAAAGTGACAAGGCTTTGGGAGGGAAGGGCAGGCTGACAAAGGCCCTCATCGACAAGTTGACAGATTATTATGGCTGGGCCCTACAGAACAGTTCCGATGATGTGGCTGCAATGCGGCGGGCAGTGATGGCATCGTACCACCATGTGACGTCGACGGATGAGGAGCCGCACCACGACTTGTGCCCAGAGGGTGCAGACTTCTGGTGTCGTCACAATGCCAGCAAGATTACCGGTGTTCCACCTCCGAAGCATTCGTACAAGCTGCCACGCTATGTTGCAGATGCACTTCTACCCATTTATGAGAGGCTCTCACAGGCTTCTCTTCTGCAACGCTGCCTGGGAGCAAAGACGCAGAATGCATCAGAGTCCTTTCACTCTGTGCTGTGGTCCCTCATGCCCAAAGAGCAGCATGCGTCACTGATTGCTGTGGAGACAGCACTGCATCATGCAGTGCTAAGATACAGTGCTGGCTGCTACAGGGCCACCCAAGAGCTAGCTTCATCAGTGGGGCTAACACCTGGCCACCTGGCCATTCAACGGGCAGCCGAGAAAGATTCTCTGCGCTTGAAAAAGGCTAAGAAGCGATCCCTAGAGAAGATGGAAAGGCGGCAAAGAAAGAGAGTGCCAAAGGACACCTCCAGTTACGCTGCAGGTTCATTTTAGAACTGCCTATGTGCTCAAAACTTTCAAACGTCGTTTTCTCAAAATGACTTTTTTGGCTAGTGAGGCTGCTTATTCCAGCCATATCTCTGGAACCACTCATTGGATTTCCATAAGTCTTTATTTATTATGTACATGAATAAATTTCTGAGGGGGTGACAAGCACATTTTTTCAATATATTGTGTGTGTTATTTATTATATTTAATCAAAATTTGATTGGTAATATCCTAATCACGAACACAAA